CTGTCGCCACTGTGGCATGACCTTGCTGTGGCAGTAAGATGTACTACTGAGGCTGAGGTGTCTGCTCACGAGGAGGTCCTGAGATGGCCATCTGCCTCCCTGTGGAGAGGGGTGGGGATTCTACAGGTGTTTGGGAACTATCATGTGAGCATGGGATGCCTTGGAAGCACCCCAACGACTGGTGGAAATGATGTAATTTGTTAACCAGCAATAAAATTTAATGGAAAAAAAGAGCTGTGTAAGACCACAGAAGCCATTGGGCAGCCCTGGCTCATGGCAGCAGTGGGGAGACAAGCTCCAAGCCCATGTTTGCACCACGCAAGTACAGAAGAGACTGGGACAAACCTGGTTAGGTTCCAGTGCTGGGGGTAAACAGTCCCAGGAAAGTGGAGATGGTGGAGGGTCAGGGCCACCAGACTGCGCTCCTGCTGGGGTCCACACCTGAGGGACAGGTCGGCTACACAGCTGGATGTCAGGTCGGAGGAACTGCTTTGGGGCCATGCTTGGCTGCACTGGACCTGGTGGGTAGCAAGGCTGAGGCTGATATCTGTCTTGGGGGCCATGGGAGAGGAACCAGCCTTCCAGGAGTCAACAAAAGCCCACTGAGGCACATCTTGGCTGATGTCAGTTTACCTTTGGATTCCAGTTTGAGTTGCTAATTTTGCCTAATTGACATGCATGCCTAAAACATTCCTTGAGAACAGCATTGGGATAGTTCTTAAACTGCAATTGCAGGGTTAACTTGTTCTTTCTGCTTGCACTAAGATACTTCTGCTAGTCAAGGTTACTTGGAATTCTGTTATTCAGCCAGTCCTAACTGGAATGCAAACATCTGTGAATTAACTCTGAGACCAAATAAAATGTGCCAGGATCATTTTAAAATCTATGCTGTTACAGGGCTTGCTATAGAAAAGACCAGTAAGTAGGACAGAGGAGCTGTATAAAAAGTTATGGGTGGGCTGGGGATTTAGCTCAGTGGCACCATGCCTGCCTCACAAGTGCAAAGTCCTGAATTCGATCCCCGATACCAAAAAAAAAAAGTTATGGGCATGAGGATATGTTTTTGGTAAGAAAGGATTGTGCTGGGCTGGGGATTTAGCTCAGTGGTTCTGCCACCTGCCTCACAAGCGCAAGGATCTGAGTTCGATCCCCAGTACCAAAAAAAAAAAAAAAGGATTGTGCATAATGAGATTTTTGCCCTACTGAAATGGAAAAAGAAAACATGGGGACGGATCTAGAAGCCCAAGTAAGTCAGAAAAGTTTTGTGGAGGATGAGGCTTATGAAAGAAAATTTTTATGTTTGGCTTTTCTAAGTTTTTGCTATTATTGGTTTTGTCAGGCCTAAGGTCTATTTTTTCTAAACCTCCTCATTGCTTAAATGTGGCTACAGGGGCCCTGACACTGACTCTCAATCATCAATTCCTTCAGGCCAATGTGGGACCAGACAAGACCAACAACTGGAACAGCATTCTGGCAATGAGGGACAGTGGCAACAGTGATCAGCAAAGCCTTCAAAGAAACTCTCACAAGGACAAGAGGGGACAATGAGGAAAGCATGAGAGTTGTGAATATCATGATAGAGTCACTAGTGTTAGCCCTTCCAGAAGGTTCTAGTTAGAACCAGGAGGTTGGAAGGAAGTGTTATTATGCATAGGTCTCTGCTGATAACCATCACAAAGAATTCTGTTGAAATCATGTTTGTCCTGAATAAACCTGAGCCTAATCTAACAGATTTGTTATTAGAAAACCCAGATCTTGAGATATTCACAGGTAGAGGCGACCGAGTGTATGGTAGGGTGGGTGTGTTGCTGGGGCACACTCTGCATACCACAGTCAGGGAACTGCACCTGAGTATGCACAGTAAAGGCTATGATATGCAGCTGAGCAGGCTAGAAGCCAGAGAAGCTGTCTGCCCCATGCGAGGTGGTTGATACCCAACAGCACAGACTACCAGAGGGGCATGAAGCCCAGCACAGTTCCTCAGCAGTCGGGTATGACCTGTAAAGAAGTTGATGGCTTATGGAAAAATGACTGTGGATTTCAGAGAGTTGAATAAAGTGGTACCCCTCATCCATGCCTGTGTCCAACACTGCTCTCCTGACTAAACAACTAATGTGGGCTATGGATCCTATCGTGCAGTTTTAGATCTCGTGGATGCTTTCTTCAGTATTCCCATAGCTGCTGTGTCCCAGGACCAGTTGGGATTCACCTGGACTGGACAGCAGTGGACCTTTCAAGTGCTCTCCCAGGGCTATTGCACAGCTCCACTGTTTGACATGGGATGGTGGCCCCCAGGACCTCAACTTGTTAACCAACCCACCCACTATAAAATTGTTTTGTTATATATTGTAGATAGTATCATCCTAACCTATGGGTGTCTTTCAGATTCAGAGAACATCTGGAAGATATTCAAGGACACCTGAAGGAAAGGGGATGAGAAATCAATCCCCAAACGTGAAAAGGCCTGGCACATGGTAAAGTTTTGGGAGTCTTCTGCTTGGGTGAGATGTGCATAATGCCTGAAAAGGTCAGAGAATATTTTGCGGCAGCCTGTACCAAAGAACACAGACCAGTTACAGGGGTTCAGAGGACTCTTTGGGGGCATTGATGCATTCTCATACCGTCATGCTTAAGTTGCCTGCCCTCTATAAAAAGGGGAAGCACATGGGATGAGACAGAAGTACTCAAGCGGCTTTTTTTTTGTTTTTGAGACAAAGTCTTGCTCTGTAGCCCAGGCTGGCCTCAAACTCACTGTCAAGAAGCTCTTGAGCAAGCTAAAATACTAAGGGGGTCAGTGGAAATACTAAGAATACTAAGGAGGACAGGGTAAAGTTGTGTGCCTTGATATTCCAATACCCTTTTGTTGCAGTGGTTACCAGAAGCCCCGAGGGTTTTAATTGAGGGCCATGGTGGAAACAACCTAAGCAGACAGTTTTAATAAGGCTCTGGTTCCAATCATGGAAAGGGGTGGAAGCCAGGTATACAGCACAGAAGCAGAAATCCTGGCCATAAGTAAAGCCCTGCTGCAGGAAGAATCCACCACTGGATCTGCTTTTGTGACGTTAAACACAGAATATCCAATAAAGGGCTGGGTCGCAGGCCTTTTGGCCAAGCCCCCGTCTGCGGGGGCACAAAATCAGACTGCAAAAATGGCACATTTGGTCTGGATGTAACCAGCCATTTTCCCATTGGACTTTTTGTCTGCTCCAAGGAAGGAAACCCACGTTTGTACTGCAAGCCAGAACAAAGACTTGTAGCCAGGGAAGTCACAGGGACCAGTGGGAAAGCCGCTGCTGTTGTTCTGATAAATGGATATGATGCCCCAGTGAAACTGCCATCTAAACATTTATGGCTGTGCTCACAGATTACTGCTGTGCCAGCCACAGCCAAGGGAAACTTCTTGCAGTGGGCAGTGACCACAGTGGCAACCATGTCCAATTACTGATGTGCAATGAACTTCCTCTTTCCAGTTAAATAGGCATACCCTGGAATGTGCTGCCATTGTACTCCCAAAACTGGAATAACTTTATGGGGAACTCAGAACTGAGATGGAAACTTCCTTTAAGTAACAGAAGTGAGAAAATATAAATCAATCCTGATCTGTGCACTTAATTGGGGACATGTACTCTTTTTTTTTTTTGGTACCGGGGATCGAATTCAGGTCCTTGCACTTGCACAGCAGGCGGCAAAACCACTGAGCTAAATCCCTGGCCCGGGGACATGTACTCTTGACTGATGTTTGGGTTGGTCTAGGAGTAGGTGTCTGGTCCTGTGACAGAAGACTCCAGTGCTCAGCCTCAGTCAGAGACCACACCCCTTCCAAAGTTCGGGGGAACACTGCAGAAGAGGGGCTGACTGCAGGTGCTGGAGAAAGCAGAGTAGTGAGAACTGCCCTCCCAATGCTGGCTAAAATAACTCCATCCTGTAGCGGCCCCTGTTTAGTTGTTCAGTGGGTTCCCCCAGGTGCAGAGGCTGCTGCCAGGCTGAGGCACTAGGTCACCACCACACAGCTGGCTAGTGCTCACTGAGACTCGTGGATTTTCCCCTATATGGATGGGCTAGAAGCGGAGTACACACTTTTCTCAAGGATCCTTCTTGCTTTCGCTGCTATAATTAGCGTTCTTTAAAACCAGAAGCCTAGCCCTGGGTGCTTAGCGACTTCAGTAGTGCCACACCCCACAAGTTGTGCACTGTTCTCTCTAAATGAGCCTGATTAAACTCATTTACTTGCCAAGCTAGACTTAAGAACTGTTGAGACATTTCTTTTATTCTTTCTGGAACATTTACACAACACTGCTACATGGACAGACGTCACCATTTAAAGTCCAAAACGTCCTTACCACTGAAAAGTTTATAATCTTTTTTTTTTGTTTTTTTGGTACCGGGGATCGAACTCGGGTCCTTGCGCTTGCGCAGCAGGCGGCAAAACCACTGAGCTAAATCCCCAGCCCAGTTTATAATCCTGTTTTAAACTAAGATTCTTAAAAATTTAAATTCCCAAAGTAAACATTTCTGAAAACTTGGAAAATACAGAAGACTCAATCTTAAGATTATCACGGTTAATATTTTGGTATGTTGTTCTTCGGCTGTTGAAACACACAGGCATGTGTACGTATATATATATACACACCCACGCACGCTTGCGACCATCCAGCAGAGCGTTCCTGGCCGGCCTACTTTCTGATCACGCTTCTCGGCTTCCAGAGCTCGCTCTAGCGGAGCGCATAGGACCTGGCCCGCCGCCTCTGGGCAGGCGGCTCCTCAGCGCGCGCAACCAAGACGCCCGGTGTCCCCTCTACGACGTCGCCAGGCGCGGAGCACCCGAACCCCGTACCCAGGAGTACAGAGTCCGAGGGGCCGCCCAACTCTCCCTGAGGCGGTCTTCCACAAGCCGCAAGCGAGAAGGTGAGCAGCCGACGAAGGGCGAAGCGGAGCGGCTCACAGTGCTGACGCAGCACGCACGACGCAGCACGCACGACGCACGACGTCTTTCACCGGCAGCGGCGCTGCGTCACTGGTGTCGGCCGCGCAGCCCCTGAAATCGCTGAAGGTGGGGAGCCCGGCCTGGGCGCCCGGGTCCAGGCGGCGTGATGCGGCGCAGCAAAGAGGACGTGGACCGGTACATCGCTTCGGTGCTACAGTCTGCGCCTTCGCCGCGCGAGGTGAGGCTCGGACGCGGCCTGGCCGGCGTAGTGGCCGGAGTCATGGCCCGGCGCCGCTCCTGGCTTGCTGGGAGGGCCGGGCGTGGCGCGGCGATCGCGCTCCGTGCCACGGGCCTCGTCCCAGGGTGTGAACCGCGTCCGGCGGGTCCTTCCGCCACTGGGATGGGGCGGCAGAGGAGGCCGGCGCCTCGGGGCCCTCCGGGAACATTGTGATCGCGTCAGGGCCCGGGGGAACTTGTATTGGGGCGCCTGTCTTTGTACCTTTATAAAGGTCCAGTCCCACGTACCCCTCACCTGATACATCTTGGGAGCTACTGTTATTTGCTTTTTTTTTTTTTTTAACTTAAAAGCGGAAGCTCAGGAATTTAAATTTCGCCTAGGCCGTTGTTGCTGTGCTTTGTAATTTTTAACTTTTTCCCTAAGACGCTCTTAGGGTGCTTTTCCTCCTTAAGGTCAGTGATGAGCTGTGTACACTTCACCTTCAGCAGGATAAATGATTGGAGAGTAAGGAAAAGACTATTAAGGGTGGACTGTACAGGTCATGAGTCCGTTTGCCTGCGGGTGAATCATCATGGCTCTGCTGGTTACAAACTGGGGTTTCGTACAAGTGAGCTCGTCGTCATCACAGCGTCGCCGTGTCGTTAGTACAGTAGGAGTAGGTAGGATGCTTCACGCTTTAGTGAGCGCAAAATAGTGACAGATCATTGTGTTCAGAGAGTTGTCTCTCGGTGTGTTATGGGCAAGGGCCTGTCACAGTAAACGTCTGTAAGGAATTTTTTTAAGAAAGAAGCCTATGGGTTACTAGCAACGTAGTTGTGCCTTTATACCCAACTACCGAAAGATTATCTTGTTTTGTGCGCTCACAACCCTGTGGCTGTTGAGACCTGCAGAGATTAAATATACTTGTCCCGGGTCAGATAGGTGGCTCATCTAGATTTTGACTGTGGTCTGACTGCGTTTCTTAGGAGCAGTGGGTGGTTCCCAACCCATTCTGCGGGAGTGGAAGAATGAGTGTTTACATACAGGTTGTGATTTAAAACTGCGGGCCTAGTCATAACTATGAACGTGGTGGCGGAGTCTAAAGCAGCACCTGACTGGGGTTTCTGTACCTCCTGAAGTTGATATGACTTTTGTATTTTTTGAAAACAAATTTAGAGGCCAGGTGTGGTGGCACAGGCCTGTAATCCCAGCACTAGGGAGATTGAGGTAAGCCAGCCTGGGCTACATAGTGAGTTCAAGGCCAGCCTGAACTACAAAGCCATACCCTGTCTCAAAAAAAAAAAAAAAGCAAATTTAAAGATTGGGAACCTCTGGTATAGACAGTGGCAAAATTGTTCTTTTACCCTCATACATTTTCCATCAAATAAAGTGGTTAGAGGCGAAATCTTTGGGATTGGTTATAATAGCCACTTGTAAAGCTTGAAAAGGCAATTATGTTAAGCAGATGTTTCTCTTCAAATAAGATGAAATCATTTACCTCAGAACCTGGTGATTTTCAGTGGTATATGTGTTAAACATGTGGCGCTAATCCATGTAGTTAGTTCTGGGTAAATGACAAGATACTTTGGATTCTTGGCAGAGAGATGGGAAAGCAGAGACAGCAGCTGTGACAAATAAAGATTAGTTCTTTCCCAGGTTGGCAGAGCCAGCCAGCCATGAACTGGCCATGCTTTCTAGGATATCTGGATTCTGGAGTGTGTCGATGTGTTCAGAATTTCCTGTCTTCCATTCTGTTCTCCTTTGTTCATCTCTGTTTTACCATTTTTCTACTCCCATTTCCTTTTGTCCCTATCAAAAGCATCATTCTTTATATTTTTTGATTCCAAATGCTTCTGTTCAGTTTTCTTAGGTTCTGTCTAGTTGGCTTCCCATGCTGTACCTAATTACTACTCCTCGAAGACTACTTAGCTCTCATAATTATTTGTTTTAGCATCTACATCGCAACTTCATATGTCTGAGAAACATACATAGATCTTATTTCTCCCTCCCCTGTTTAGATGATTTCTACCATGTACGCACCTCAACAACTTTGTAAGATTTGTTTCCTCCTTATTCTGTCAGTACTGTTACTGTAAGTTTTGGTTAACTGACTATTTAGTGTTTATATTAAAATGATTAATGTTTTTGCATTTGAGTTACCTTTGTGTGTTTTTATTTTTCTTGGAGTTAATAGTTGCTTTTTCATTTGTTTATGATGTACTGTGAATTCTTTTTTGGTACCAGGGTGTGAACTCAGGACCTTGCACTTGCGAGGCAGGTGGTGGAACCACTGAGCTAAATCCCCAGCCCTTATGAATTCTTCATCTAAACTCAGCAATTTATATTCTTCTTTTTTTTTTTTTTAAGCAATTTATATTCTGAAATGTGCTCAAACAGATCACATAATCCCATCAATTTCACTTTAAAAGTTTTTATTTTTTGAGATGAGTTCTTGCTGTGATGTCTGGGATAGCTTCCCATCTTCTGGTCTCAAGGGATCTTCCTGCCTCAGGAGCTAGGATTACAAGCCTGTATCACAGCACCTAGCCTTTTTATTTTTTTAAAGAGAGTTTGGTTCTGGGAACTTTTTTCCTTGCTACACATCAGTGTTCCTGGGACATCCCATTATCATCTTTTCTGTGTTAAGCTGGCTAGCTGGCTGGCACTTGCTCTCTCTTGCTCTCGCCCTCTGTCTTTTCTTTTTTCTTCAGTACTGGGATTTGAACTCAGGCACTTTGCACTGACTGAGCTACATCTCCAGCACTTTTTAATTGTGAGACAGGATCTTGCTAAGTCTCTTAAGTGGCTGAGGCTGAGTTTGAATTTTTACCTTTTTTTTTTTTGGTACCGGGGATCGAACTCGGGTCCTTGAGCTTGCACAGCAGGCAGTGAAACCCCTGAGCTAAATCCCCGGCCCTTGAGTTTGAATTTTTAATCCTCCTGCCTAAGCCTCCCCAAATTCTGGGATTACTGGTGGGTGCCACCAGCGGACGCTGTTTCTTGAGTCTCATTTCACTTGATTTACTTTATTTTTGGTGTAGCACAGTTTCATTTGCTTTGAGAAGGAATGGATGAGAGTTTTAAAACGTATGTCTGAAAAGGAAAATTTGATAGTTTGATTGTAAAAGTCTGGGTTCAAAATACTTTTTTCCTCAGTTTGAGAGCATTACTCCATTTTTCTGATACTTTTAGTGTTAAAAGTTTGATGTGATTTTTGTTCTTTTTTGTACCAGGGATTGAACTCGGGACCTGCGAGGCAGGCCATGGAACCACTGAGCTAAATCCCAGGCCCTGATTTTTGTTCTTGATAATTTATAGATTTTTGGAAATTTCCTTATTTCTAGTTAAAGGGCATTTTTCATTTCTTTGACAGTTTCTCTTTTTTCTCTGTTACCTTTCTGATGTTTCTGTTAACTGAAAGTTGGACCTCTTTGGTTTGATTCTCCGGCGTTTTCTCTCATTCTTGTCTTCCTCTGTTCTACTTTTGGAGAGCTTTGCTTACTCTTATCTTCCAGAGGAAGGGGTTGGGGCACTCACAGCTCAGCATCTAGACTTTTGTGTCTCCCTCTGTGGTGCAGTTTTGGAGCTAAACCACGTGCAGAACAGACTTGTGCTGCGGCTCTTGGGGGGGGGGTGTTGGTGGAGAGAGAAGTCAGTTGACTGCCAGAGAGGGTGTGGTGGCATCACTTAGGGTCTGGGCTTTTCCTGTTCTCAGCCCCACATTAGTTTTTGATTCTTTGTAGCTTTTGGATTTGGGTATTTGCTTAGAGAGGCCTCTGGTGTCAGGGAAAGAAGGCGCTGACTGTATCCAGGGTTGTCCTGTCACTTAATGTTAGCTTTGCTACTTCCTGCCTGTGTGTCCCTAGTTAAACAAAGCACTCACCTTCTTGGGCTTCATTTCCCTTATAGAATGAGCAAGTTGGAGGCAAAAGATGATGATCAAGTTTTCCCAAATTCTGTGCTTCTATATATTAATTTTTTTTTTTTTTTTTTTTGGTACCAGGGATCGAACTCTGGTCCTTGCGCTTGGGAGGCAGGCGCCAGAACCACTGAGCTAAATCCCCGGCCCTGTATATTAATTTTTAATACTGGCTGTTTAGTTATCTTAAGATAGATCTCTTAAATAAGACAGTTGGGAACAAAGTAGGTAATGGAATAATTTTTCTCTTATATGTTAAGAGTTTACTGTGAGAATCTCTTCATTAAAAAATGGTGAGGGCTGGGGATTTAGCTCAGTGGTTTCACCACCTGCTGTGGAAGCACAAGGACCCCAGTTTGATCCTCAGTACCAAAAAAAAATGGTGAAACAAGCTTTGTTCCTTTCCATGTCTTATTGACTGTGTACATTACTATTTTTTGTCACATTCTTCCTCTTATATCTTTTTTTTTTTTTTTGGTACCAGGGATCGAGCTTGGGTCCTTGCGCTTGTGCAGCAGGCAGCGAAACCACTGAGCTAAATCCCTGACCTTCCTCCTATATCTTTTAAATTTATGAGTTTACTCCGGGGAAGGGAGACTGTGTCCATTTTTTGTTTGTTTGTTTTTTGTGGGGTTTCTTTTGGTATGGGGGATCAAACTTGGGACCTTGTGCTTACGAGGCAGCAGCACCACTTAGCTAAATCCTGGCCCTATACCTGTTTCTTATATATTTCATTCTTTGTTTTTAAGTATTTATAATTAATTACTGTTTGGTTCTTCTTGACCTCTTTTCTCAAGTATTCAAAATGCTAAGTGAAGTACAAGATTGTTTGCAGTTCTTCAGTGTTACAACATATCCAGTTAAGGACATACAGGAACAGTATTGTTATACTAAGATCACTTTGAATAGTTAAGCACTATTTTAATAAAATAAGAGGTTTTTTTGAAAAAAAAGCTTTACTGAGTCTCATATCATGCAATTCACTTTTTTTTCTGGTACCAGAGATTGAACTCAGGACCTTGCGCTTGCGAGGCAGGCATGATGCCACTGAGTTATATCCCTGGCCCCCAGTTTTTTAAATTGTAGAAAAATGCAGCATTATTCCTTGATATCCATAGGGGATTGATTTTGGATCCTCCTCCTCTACCAAAATTTATGAGTTCTCCCATCTCTCACATACAATGGTGTTGGCTCTGTGTATTCCTTACGATGTCCGGATGACTTTCACAGATTGAGTATCCCCGATTCCAAAATCAAGACTGCTCCAGACTATGAAACTCTTTAGTCCTTATGGGAAACCCCACTCATCATCTCCTGTGACGGATCACAGTCAAATGCAGGTGTACTAAAAATATTGTATCATTACTTGCAGGCTATGTGTATGTGGTACAGATGACATAGAAATAAATTCCTGTTTAAATTTGGGTCCTGTCCTCAAGATACCTCATTATGTGTATGTAAAAATTCCAAAATCTGAAAAAAACCCAAAACACTTCTAGTCCTAGGAATTTTGATAAAGGATGCTCCATTAGTAATGTCTAATATATTGTAAATGCTTTGTGAGTAGTTGTTAAACTGTATTGTTAGCTGGGCATGGTGACTCACGCCTGTGATCTTAGCACTCTGGGAGCCTGAGGCAGGATCTCTGAGAATTTCAGGCCAGCCTGGGCTACATAGTGAGTTCCGGGCCAGCCTGAACTACAAAGCGAGACCCTGTCTCAAATAAACAAACAAACTGTATTGTGTGAGTAATAATCATAGGTAAGAAAAGTCTGTAATATTCAGTACAGATACATTTTTTTCTTGAGTATTTTTGATCCCTGATTAATTGAATTTGTGAATGTATATGTGGAGGAAGACCTTTTTTTTTTTTTTGGTATGGGGGATTGAACTCGGGACTTGCGCTTGCAAGGCAGATGCTGGGACCACTGAGCTAAATCCCTGGCCCTAGGAAGACTTTTAATGCAGTTTTAATTGTTTGCTTTGGTTGCATTACTTCGCATTCAAGATGTTGGCCAACGATTACCATTATTTCCAAATTTTTTCATCACTCCAGACAAATTCTGTAACCATTAAACAGTAAGGACACAGGTCCTTCTTCCCACAGCCCTGGTAATCTTTCTTCTACTTTGTGTCTTTTATGAATTTGTCTATTCTAGATCATATATATAGGATTTTACTATACTTTTTGTGTGTGGCTCATTTCACTTTTTTTTTTTTTTTTTTTGG